GCTGGCCCACCTACCAGGACACCGCTCATCTGCTCGGCTATGCGGTCTTGTATGCCGTTGCCCTTGCGCAGTAGGGCCGGCACGGTTACAAGAGTGACCAAGATTGACAGTAGGCTGAAGGTGATGGCCACTGCGGCGGTCGCGTCGGTCGTAGTCGTCATGCTGTCTTTACCGTAGTGGTCGCAGTTGGTGCTGGTACCTCTGTTGTGCGGTGCAGCCGGCTCTCGGGGATACGTTGCGATGCACTATGGACCTATACGATCGTCCGCTCCGTCTCTCTCTCCTGCGGATCACTGTGGGGACCGACGGACGGCGTTGTGTTTATTGAACGTCAGTCACGGCCTGATTTCCTCTCATACCGATTACCGTTTGATAATTAGAATAACGTTCACATATTCAGTTTCACGTCTTCCATCGTCGCTTCGCCAAAACAGGGTCATACGCCGCAGACTGCGTCCGGCAGCAGTGGCACTCTTGACGCGGTGCTTTCGTCCGAAATGATTCATGAGAAAATAGGTGATACGCCGGCGGTGTCATTTCGCCGCCGTTCCCCCCACATTCTTGCCGGTTGTCGATGGCATCCGTCCGTTTATCATCTTTCGTATCATATTTCATACATTTTTGATGAATCATGACAGTTGCCGAAATAGGACATTCGCTGGCCTCGATACTCGTCGTTTCCACGCATACATGATTGTGTTCTTCTTTGGTCATTGTCGCTCATTAACCGGTCAAGGAATCTGGGTCTACCCTGTCTGAAGAGAAACGGAACCCGTCAATTTGTTGCAAATAGCTGAGAACCATCGTCTGTCCACTGAATTGTTTACGAATGAATAACCGACGTCCGCTTCATCACTGCAAATGGTCACTTTATTGACGTTGGTCACCACTACTTTCGTTCGACAGAGAATCACCTCAAAGTTTTTGCTTCTACAAGCCTTTATTCGACTTTTGAGGTAGGGCTAAGAAACGATATGCTAATAAACAATCCATGTCAATCTCCTTTCGAAATGAAAGCTATAAATGATATATAAATGATAATATTATAAGTTATAAAGCTATAAATGATAATATTATAAGAAAATGTCGGCATAACCGGTAATACATTTTAAAGTCAGTAGAATACAAATTGTTGGCACCATAATGGTTTTCGTCTAAAATAGACTCTAATCGTCAG